TGCAGAGTAACTCACAACATGATACAATTCAAAACGTCTATAACTGTGACAATGCATTTGCACTATCTTTGAATCCACTTGTCAGTTCCACATTGGAAAAAAAATCTTTTTCTGGGTCAGCATTGACCTTCCACTATACAATTTATCTTCAACATTGCTTTTGCTGCCTTGAAACATTTTTGCCCATTTTCACACATTACTCGCATTGTTACCTTACCTTACACATTTCTGAGCTTTGTGTGGATGTTTGAAACAGTACAGCTGCCTTTATATCCACATGAATAAGTAACTCCTTGAGGGGTGGTGGAAATTTTACTCATGCAATAAGAATTATGCTATGTTTAGTGGTTTAAAAGCATCACATTACCATTTTCTCTGAAATGTAATTGAGAAAACATTACTTTCAGATCAACAACTTGAGTTGCACATTTTTTTTTTTTTCTTAGATATAAGCTGCCTTTTATATATTGGATGGCCAAATAAATTTCTCATTTTATTAAGTAGAAAATTTACTTAATAAAGCAAACAAACATTTTGGTTAACCCAATAACTTCTATATTTTTTTTTTTTTTTTTTTTTTAAATTTATTTTTATTTTTAAATATTACCAATAATTATATTTAGTGATCATGGTTTCTACTAACAATATAACAGTAACAGATAAATTCCTAAAGTTGATGTTTACTCAATTTAGTAAGGTATAAAGCTACATGTAGAAAAGAAGGTTTCACCAATCTTCCAAGGGATTAGGATTTTTCTGCCTTATAAATCATTTCGAAAGTTGATCTTTTACCTGTTCTCAAACACTAAATTCTTGCAACTATTTAATCTGTAAACAAGCCTCTATGCATAGTTATTGTACAAAATTAGATAGCTTTATGCTAAATGTAAGCTAAGTTGGTAAGTATTATAAGTATGCAAACACTTGTATTTTGTGGCTCTTGTATAGAAATGCAAGTTGTTATGGACAAACTCCAACTTGGTGTCTACTTGAAAACTGATCTACAATTCATGATAATGGAATCTCAAAGATTTTTATATTGAAACTTAATGACAATAATGATCAGTTTAAATTTGTTTATATATCAAAAGCCTTACTTACCAGCCAAATGAATTTGTATGGAAAAAGAACACTGACATTTTGATAAGTGTTAATATAGAAGAAAAGAATAAGAAAATCTTTTTTACTGTGTTCTGATCATCTCTCTTATTTGTTAGGTTTAACTTTGAATGAAAAATTGTCTGGCCAGCCAAAATCAGTTTGGTTTTCTCTTGTTAGATGTATATTTGTCAACCATTTTCATCCTACTTAGGAATTTGATACATCTGATATTCTATATCATTAAAATGTGCTGATGTGTAAATGCTGCTTTGCATTTTAGGAAGTGCTATACTAAACCCTTAACAATTTAAAACTTGTTTTTGAGCCTTGTTAACTGTATGCTGTTGTGATTCTCTTGGAGAAATAACAAAATTAAAAATACAATTAATGTTGACCCAAGATGTTTCATTTGCTTTTAAACAAAATGTTATTCTTTTGCTGGAATGAAGGGTATTACTATTTAGTAAATGAGTTTAGATGACCTTTAAAAAGTTCTATAATGAATCCTGATACCTGGTGTTACATCTTACACAAATATAAATTTTAACATTTTTAATTAAAAGAAAGCATGTATAGACACACGTGCATATATATATATATATAAGAGAAAAAAGATTAACAATTTTCTTTTCTTTACAATATCTCATTCTGGCATACTATAGAGTTGAATGTTTTAAAAAAAGCTATTAAACATTGCATAAGTATACTGAAAAATATACTTTCTCTTTTGCCATCAGGTTTGTAGTCTATAATATTCTTTTCAGTAGTACACATGCTTGCTGGCACTAATGCATTACAATGCTTAAGAGTTCTGCAAAGCAGGCATAGTTTTTAAATTTTATTTCTTTATTTATTTTGTAACATAATTATGAAACTGTATATTTTACTTCAAACCATATATATGTTAGGTTGCCAATGCTTTAAGAAACAAGTCTTAGCTCTGATAGAGTAATGGCACAAATACATTTCTCTTCAAAATAGTTTTTCAATATACTTACCATTTAGTGTCATATATTTTACTAAACGTTCTATCCATATTTTTTTCTGTCCATGAATAAAATTTCTGGTTCCCTTTTGTTCCAGTTGAGCACAGCATCTTCAGCTTCATAATCAGATGTAAAATGTTGACTATTTAATACCTTTTTCAACTTTGGGAGCAAATTACTAACTTAGGGCTGTATAGAGGGTGTCCAACAACTATGAATTTTTAGCATTTCCCCATTTGTGACAGTCATTGGCTATAATGCAGCCCCCACTCCTTTTTGCCTTATTTTGCAGATGTGTTTTTGAGTGGTTGCAAAGTTTCATTGCTTTTATGAATTTCAATTGGCTTTCAACAATCTAGAGCCAAACATCTATCACTAATCATTGTTATATACATAACTCTGAGGTAGAAACTCATGGCTAACAAACACTACTCCATGCTGTTGCATAGAAAATTGACACCAAGCACATTTGAACAGGGCTTTATATACAACTGAATACATATTCAAACAAGTTTCTCTCTTTATTATTATTGATATCATTCTGTAGGAGACACTTATACTCAAATTTCTGAAATTATTTCTATTTTTTACTCTGTGAACAAATTAACATAGAAGAAAAATTGTTTATAACTATTCCAGTACATAACAGCAATAACTGTTTTTCTTCTAGAAAAGCAAGTTCCTAGCTAAACTGATAGTATTACATTTTGAAAATGATAAGCATACAAGTTGGATGAAAAGTTGATGCTGTTGATTAATTTCTCATTAACTTATTTGCTATATATTTAATTTTAATTATTTTCTTTACCTATTAATGTACTTTGTTCAGAAGCTTCAAGGTTTCATTCACAAGTCACAAAATAAAATCACCTTCAGCAGATTAGAAAAATGGCTGCTATAGCAGGCTCAGTGTCTCATTGGATAAAATATCAAGCTTACTATACCTATAACAAGGATAATTTTTAATAATTTCATTACACTGTCAGTTTTTATTATGTAAGTTAATATTTTCCTAATAAAACTGGTATTAACCAAGGAAAACAAGCAGTCTTTAAGAATTTTGTAAAAAGACATTTTGAGAAAATTAAAAGGGTAATAAACAAGAAAATTGGATTGACCAGTAAGAAAATAGTTGAATAAGCTGGTATTGCAGTTATAAACAGAAAATCTGTAGAATATTAAGAATATTGGCTAAAGACATGTCAACAGTCAAATTACCACCTTTTTAAGTAAACATTAATAAGAAACAAATAAATTGGATAAGTACATGAAAATTAATTTCTGAAATTTATTGATGAATATAGTTACATTGGATAGACCTGTTAGTTAGGCTAGAGGTTGTGTCTTTCATATAAATAAATCAACACAAATTAGAAGATAACAGAGAGGAGATGAGTAATGTTTTGGGCTAATATTGTTGGTAGTAAAATTATAAGTCCTTTCAATTTTTATGGTATCTAGATAAATGAAGAGGATTTTTGTGTGCATGTCTGTGGTAAAAGCTGCAACCAAAAAACCTTAACCTAAAAAGTATTTTGAAGCAAGACAATGCTCATTTTACATTTTGTAAAACTGGCTGTTGTCCAAGAACAAGTTATCAAAATTTTAATAAGGGTAGATATAAGCTGAAAATTATGTGACATCTTCATTGAATAAATATATCCTGGAACTTTTACCAACATCAGTTGGTTAATACTTGTATCATGTGAAAATATTGGTTTGCATTATAAAATCTGACTTAGTTTAAATGAATCAGTTTATACTTGGTAGGTTTCTATGAAAACCAAAATTAACTCAATTTTCATTTATATTTTTATACAATCTATTTTTTGTTTTATTTCTCTACAAATGCATTTACTTTAAAAGATTAGCTAAGTTAGAAAATATTGTTAAATTAATGAAAATTAATTTTCTTAAATGACACAAAATTTGAAAGAAAAATGTTTTGCATGATTACTTTTTATTTGTAGGTTGTCTTTTGGTGTAAGAGTTAGTGAACTAATATGGCTAACCCCCAGTACTGAGTAGGGAGTTTAATCCTCCCTGGGTGCTCATAGGCGACCCTGTGCCATGCTAAGCTTAGTTGATGATGACTATTGTTTTTTATTTCATTTTTTTATGAAAATTGATTTGGAATAGCTGATCAAGTGATTTTTGTGTGTATGTTGATTTATTTTTGCTTTCGCTTTAGTTACTGTGCAAAGAATGAACTCATTGGAGGTTTTTTTTTTAAGTTAACATATCTGTTTTAACAATGTATCCATGTTGAAATATATTCCCAAGTATCTCATATTTGTTTTATTACTGGAACAATTTTGTGTAGAGAAATAATAAAAGCAAATTTAATCATCAGAATTTGTTGATGAAACCTGTTAGCATTTTGCAAAATCTTTCATTGTTATAATTTTTTCTTTCCTTGTTCCAAATGTTTTTAAATGTTAATTCATTAAATTCAATTACTTTGTAACAAAGAAAATAATATATTTGATGTTATTAGATTTTTTTATGTCGTGTTTGAGATAAACATTTCTTGTAGTTATGGCATAAGTGTTCAGACAGATGTTGCTGAATAGCAAAATATCTGGCTTTGAATGGAACCTCTTGTAATAATTTTTATAGCTCTCTAGTTGAGAACAATCAAACTTACTATCTTTTGTTATAAAAGATGTTACCCAACATAATTTTACAAGTCTATAGTTTTACAAATATCTTTCTCTTATATAAAACTGAAATTAATAAGCTCAAAGTGGATAGATTTGATGTTTTGGGGGTTTTAAATTGTTGATGCTTATACATATGTCAGAAGCCATAGATTTTACATGTTTTATTGTGTATTTTGTAAATTAAAGCTCAAACTAAAAAACAAAAAAACAATTGTAATTTGTTTCAAAATGTTTTTTTTATATTTTTCAGGATTCCTTGTGTATTACATAAGTGCCGTAAAGGTCAGTTTTCAGTATGTTATTACTAAAAGATTTTTCCCATTTCTTTACCATTTTGAATTTTTTTGTTATGTAACTAATGCATGCTCCTGAATGACTAACTTTTCCCACATTTAATGAGAACAATGTCCGAAAATCTGTTAATTTGTTCATTAATATTTCCTCAATGTACAAATGGCAGGGGAATCATTTGTTAAAAACATTCCTAACCTTATTGCTAATATTGTAATTGAAATGTTTTCCACTCTTTTTAATATTTACTAAAATGCTCGCTTTTATATGTATGCACATGCTTAAGCTCAGTTTAATATCTCAGCCAATACATACAAAATACATACTCTGTACCACATAGGCTACTTATCATTAGTTGCAAATACACACTCATAAATATTGCATGCCTGGACAAGTATGTATACTCCCAGGTAGATAGATTTAAAGGCAATTATATACTCAATGAACTGACAAAACGGGCAACATATCGTGATATTTGAATGACTGAATTCAAAATCAGTAGGTTTTTATCAGATAGAAATGGATAGCTAGGTCATTAGGTAACTGATTTTTATTTTCTAGATTTTGATAGAAATAAACGAATGATTTCAAATTTATTTTCTTGGTAACAATTCTCACCATCAAAAAACTGAAATGAAAAAAAATTGAAATTTGTCTTGTCTACAGTACTGGTGGTAACATTTAAAAAGGATTTGATTGAAAAATTTAAATAAGCCAATGATGATGATGATCTAAAAAGGTGTATATAAATAAGAGCAAGATTAGATTTGTCAAATGATTTTATATTTGGGGATTAACATTTTCAGAAAGGATGGTATTTATGAAATAATTTTTTTTTAAATGTCATCATTTTTGGGTTATTTTCACATTGGATAATAAACATTTTTCTCTTGAATTTAGCTTCATGATGTTTGATGCGACTTCAAAAAAAAAAAAAAAAAGAGGAAGCAATTTGTATTGTAAATTCAGTGTTTATTTAATTATCGAGATTTCATTTTATTTTTCTCCTCTTTGGCTTTTCCTTGCCAGACCCTCCATTATTCTAACTTTGGGTCGTTTTGATTCTTGTTGCCTCCTCTAACCACTTCCTCTTACCCCCCCCTTCCCTGGTCACTTTTATTTCCCATCTCTCGCTCTGTTTTGACTTCCTTCCCATGTCACTTTGTATCCCTTTGTTCTAAGAAGAAAATATAAATAATTCATGAAACAAAATTGTTCAAACAAAGAAGAAACTTAAGATACATCCAGTCTTTTGTTTGAAATTGAAATCTTGCTGGTATTTTTCTCTTAACTTGTTGTCACAGGACATGAAATCATATTTACGTAATATACTTTCGATTTAGGAAAATAGATGATTATTATGATTTTGTTACTTTCGATTTAAATTTAAACATTAGGAATATTTCTTGTAATCGTTAATCTAATATTTTGATAGTTTTATAATGGAAGGGTGAATGACATTTTCTGGTCCTTATACATCAGAAGACAATGGCACTGAAATAGCATCTTTCTCCGTGAATCTTCCCATTTGTCTTTTCTAATTCACAGGTCGAAGCATCTGACTGACTTAATGGCCAATCAGAAAACATAGCAAATTATTGATGCATTACTCCTCCTTCAAGAAACTCCATCACATTCATTTCCATCCACTCACACCCCTCTCTTAATAATGCTGCTGCTGCTTCTTCCTCTTTTGCCACTAGTATTATCATTATTATTTATTCTTCTCAAAGAAAAAGGGAAGGACATTTCTTTGTTTTTCTCTTATTCTTTCTCTCTCTCCTGCTTGATGCAACTTGAAAATATAAACAGTGCCACAGAGAAGAAGGAATTTGAGGAAAAGTGACAAGAATATAATCAGTGACTAGAAAGAATGTGCTTTGAGTAGGGAAAAAATTGGTTAAGACTTTATATGGAAATAATGAGAATGAGGTAAAGATAGCTTGGCAATAAATCACTAAAAAAAAAATCATAACATAACTTTTCCTTTTTTGTTTAAGTACAGAAAAATTCATTTAAAAAAAATTGATAATTTAGTAATAAATCTCAAATTTTATTAGACTGTATAAAGTTTACAATATACTAAAATACAATTTATTACATTTTAATGAGAAAAAATAAACTTTCTGAAAGGTGTTATTTTTATGTTAATCTCAATATGGCCATAACAACAACTGAATATGTTTCTGAACTCTTTCATTTATGCCTTTTTATATTTTTGTCTTTGTTCAGTTTAATTAAATTTTTGAATGGTTCTGATATTTTGATTTATTTATAAAATAAATTTTAATCTTGCTTTTTGACTGCTGCAGTCTTCAATGTCTTTACTCCCTGCTGACCTGTAAATTAAACTAAACTGAAGTGAGACACAAGGATTCTAGAATCTGCCATTGTTTGTATTTAGTTATTCAGCCCAGCTGAATGAGTAGATTATTCAATTGTATTTGTTCACATGCAAATCAAAGATTTTGGATTTGATGACTGAAATATAAATCTCTAATTTTGTTACTTGAGGTGTAGGTTTGCTTGCTTCCTTCTGTTAGCAGGTGTCTTCTCAGATTAAGAAATGAAAAGAACCTTTTTTTTTATGATGGCTGCTGTTTTAATTGTGACTGCTTTTGCTGAGCTGAGAATGCATTTGCAATGATTTTGATTCCTGTTTTGACTTGCCTGAATTGTTTCTACACTTTTGAAAATTCTTAATCTTTTTGTATGCCAAGATACCTTAGTAAGTTGGGGATGGGAAATGTGTTTGAACTTATTTTTCTCATGATCAAAGTAAATATTAAAACATTATTCCAGGAAAACATGTAAATCAAAGAATTCTATATTGTCCCGCCTCCACTATATACAAAACTGAAATTTTCTTGCCCCACTTTTTGAAAGCCATAAAACCTTTTCTTGATTGGCTCTAATTATGGATATTAAATTTTTGAATTTTTTTTATTTCTATTCATTGCAAAAGTATTTTCTGTCTATTCTTGAATCAAAGATGAAAAAAAAATAGGTAAGGAAGTTGGATACCTATTAAAGTATAAATGAATATTTGATTTAAAGCAAAACTAATTGATATTCTATGAATATACCAGTAGTGTATTAAAGATAGTTTATATAACTGTCTTTATAGAGCAATTAAAAATAGTAAATAGTTAACAATTTATCAATTTTACATCCCTATTTTTCTATGCATTAATTCAATGTATCATTAATTTCCAATGAATCTTTTCTGAATCATGATATTTACATCTTTTCAAAATTAAATCTTTTACATTAGACATGTGGTGGGTACAACATTTTATTTGGGCTTTAAAAACACATTTTAAAAGTAGATATAAATATATACATAAATATAAAAAAAACAAATTAAGGAAGAGAAAGGTCAAGTAAAAAAAGAAAAATTATTACTCACCATAATGTGGTGAATTGAATCAATTACATTCACTTGTGTGTCAATACCCTTGGGAAAGGTATGAATCCTCTTCTTCTCCCCCCAGCTATGGGTAAATAGCAGGATGAACTGGGTTCTATAGCCTTGGATGGCAACTGGTCTACCACAGAAAGAAATGGCAACCTACTGTGGGGAAAAGCTCTGTCTCATCAGTCATATATCAAAAGATACATAATCACCCAAGCGTGTATCACGCATGGCACATAAGTGAGTGACTTTTAATATATCAATATAATAAATGCTTGTATCAGTGTGTTACACTTTTTTAAATTAAAGGACACAACTCAATAGCTCATCTCCCTCATTGAACTTTTAAAAAGTAAGCTTAAATATTAATGGAATACTTAACTGCAGTGATCAATTTTGTGTTCTTCTGTAGTTTATTTTTGCCTATTGCATCTACTGTGATGAAGGTCCAATCAAGAGCCCTCCACAGGAGCTAGCTTAAATAATGCCTGATAGGATGTCTTTTAAGCTAGTTTTTAATAAATGGCTATTGCATAAATACTAAAATTGATGATTGCATTCATTAGACTATGAAATTTATTTTCAGGTATGATTCTTCATGTAATGAACTGTATGACAATTTAAAATAGGATGCAAAAATGTAGTCAAATCAATTGGAGCACATTAAATAACTTTTTAGAATTATAGCTGAAGTAATTGAAACGAAACAATTCTGCTGGACTCTGATTTAAATCTTTTTATCTGCAGAGTATTATTTTAATCTTGATATTTTTTAAAGTTAATTTCCTATTTTGTATATGTAAGACATGGATTGAAAACTCTTCAATCTGTGCCTGATAGTTGGAATGTGCATGAAAGTCACTTGTACCAAACTGCAAGGAATGCACATATATATATATATATATATATATATATATATATATAATCTCAATAGCTGCATCTACTACAAGGAAAGTTGGTTCATTGTGTTGTGCCAGAAGGTTTTTCTTGTCAGAGTCCATCTTACACATTTACAAGTCTACTATTTGGCTGTGCATTGAATACTATTATCATATCTGGTTTGGTACTCCTGCTATTCATCTTGACAAAATCCAAAGAAGGAACTGCAATGTAATCGATCCTGATTTGGCATCTTGACTTCAGTCACTCTCTTACAGATGTGATGTGGCTTCCCTCTGCCTTTTCTGCAAATATTTTCATGGCAACTGCTCTGACAAGATTTTTTTTTTGGTCCTCAGACTATGTAAATTTAAGCTTTTACTGTTGAAATAGTTAAATGTAACTGCCACTTCTACTCCAACAGTTTTTCTCACACTTCTCAGTGGAACTTCCTTCCATTTACTTGCTTCCCTGAAAACTACAATCTTCAAAAATTTAAATGCAACATCAATCACCATCTTCTGTCTTGAACCCCGTTCATCTTTTATCTTTTCCTCAATCACTCTTATACCCAGTCTTTTTCCTTTCATTCTCTGTAACCCCCCCCCCCAACCCCCAGCATACTAGTGGCATTCCTGCCTTGCTTGGGGTGAAATGATTTAAAAAAAGAAAAAAAAAGTCTAGTGTTAGTTTCTCA